ACAAACAAAAAGTTGTATTTGGAGTGTGTAGCATGGTTGAGTAATCTTTAATCACTTACTTTCAAAACGCCACGCCCACTGCTCTGTACTTCACTGTCCTTTTTTTAAAAAAATTAATCAGTGATAGAATTTGCTAGCCTGATTTATCAGCCGGTTTCACTTTGTGGAAACTGTCTGGCCTCGCAACATTAGGAGTCATTCGCTCGACAGTAGGTGGGTACTTTTTTAATTTAACCAATCGTTGCTATTTGGTCGTGAGCATATGTTATGCGCCGCTAATGGGGCTAACTGGTATATTAAGCTTTTCCCAAGTCCTGTAGGAAGAAGGGCAATAACGTCTTTCCCCTTGATAAAATTCACCAAACATTCCCTTGGTTCCAGCTTTAAATCCTTGATCTCATGAATCGTTGCCAACACAGAATGCATGGCTCTTTGCTGATTGGCTGGTGCCAGGACTCACACTTCCAGGGTTCTTGCAAACCGTCTAGTGTATTCCGATTCCTGACCTAGTCGCTGGAGAGAAATGAAATTGATTGGAAGCACTAGGTGGTATCAGCCTGGTTAAGAATTTGCTTCTTGCTAGCGTGATGTACAGCTATCCATTGGAGGTGCTGATGGGCACCACAATTTTTTTCCATGGAAGTTAGCATTCATTTTAAGTGAATATTGTGATTTAAAATGTGCAAGTATATTACATACTGATCCAAGGGTGTCATAGATTATAACTATAGCAGACACAAGCACAATATATGTTGTTGTTGTTGTCCTGGTTACTCGGTACACTATATTGCAACTTTTTTGGCATTGTAAAGATACTAAAATGTACATTTTTGCTTATTTTTGCTTATAAAATTCTCATTTTTTTGTGTTTGTTATGATTATTCTGTGACCTAAATAATCATGAATTAATATAATAATCTTAACACCACTTGCAGCCCTATATTATATCAAACAAATTGCATATTATTCAGTGAAAGAAGAATACCATCTTCTTGGATTTGTTAAATTGAATGCACTTGACATTATAGCTTTCTCTCCTTGTGCACATTTCTCTATATTACAGTGGAATAACAGAAGCAGTTCATTTGAATACAGCGTTATGTAAGCAGATGTGGTTTGAATGGGGTCAGGCGTCTCTGTTTGGTGCCTACACAGTATTATCTTCTGTCTCATGATGTGCATCGCAAAATACTGCTACTTTCACTGCATTCGAATAACTGAACAATGAGAAACAAGGAATATACAGAATAGGTAATTGTATTCACTAAATTATTAAATAGTAAGAATGTATGCGACTGCCACTATGTCAATGCTAAGAACAATTTTATTACTGTTTTTATCTTTCAATGCCGCTTTTACGTATTATTTACTTTATCGTCTTCAGGGAAATGTGTTCTGCATTTTTACTATATTATACTTTACACTTCAGTATCACTGTGTACTAGGGTCAAACTTGAGCAGGAGGAATACAGCTGGAGACAATTGCACAGTAATCTAGCAAGTTTTTACTTGTTATTTGATCCTGTCATTACACATATTGGGTCAGATGACTTGTCCAAGTTTGCCAGACCAACCAGTACCTTCTATGGTCTATTTGAATTCACTGGAGTCGGGACTGGACTCGGACAATGGGGGCTGAAAATTCTGGTGGAGGGTCCGTCAAATGCATTTTCTTCAAGGAGATGTTATTGCTTTGTCTGGAATGTTTCACACTATGGCATTAAACCTTTCTATCTTCATGGAGACCAAACCAGACCAAGTTGCAGGCCAGATCTGTGGAGAGGCAACTCCGCTCAGTCAGAATGCCTGTCTTGTTTTTTTTTTGTTTTGTTTGTTTGTTTGTTTTTTTAAACACCTTTAATTGAGTACTGTAAATTTAAAGTAGAGCTGTTTAATGTCATAGTGTAGAACATTCCAGACAGACCAGTAACATATCCACAGAAACAAACAGATGATGGACCCCCAACCAAAAAGTTACATAGACAATCTAACCACAGCCGCTCATTCGCAGCACATGTCTCACAAATGTGGAAGATATCTCCACTGGAAAATTCTTCTATCCTTCAAAACAAAAATCTGCACAGTTTTTGAGTCCTTTATGTTTTTTTTTTGTTGTTGTTGTTTTTTTTTTTTTTTGCTTTTTACATTTGATTTTGATGCGAAGCGACCATGCGTCTCTCTGATTGGTTAATCCGCCTGTCAATTACGCCCTCTGAAATCAGGGAGACAGGATACAGCTCTAGATCCACTCGTCTTTGTGAAGATTTGTTTAAGTGTGTCGTTCTGGCTGGCCAGGTAATTGCCCAAGGGCACCACAATGCATGAGTTAGAATTTAATGAATGCAAATCACTATCGGGTACAAGTGATTAATAATGAAATGAGTTTGTGG